CCCACGCAGCCAACACCACCACCACCACCACCACCACCAAACATCAACAACACACACCACCACCACCACCACCAACCACCATGGCACAGCCAGCAGCACAGTGCAGCGGTGGATTAAAACTGACAATATATACTGCGTATATAAGCGCGCTTAAGACACGGATCAGTGCTCGTGGCTTCATCTCTCCTTTCCACGCTCGTTTGCAAGCGTCGTGGCAGGACAGCGGACGACGTACGTGGCGCATGACGACCGTTCGCCCACAACACAAGCTGGCCGTAGTGGAGTAACACGTACGACTGACGTCTGTACGATACATGCGACAGAGCGCGCCGACGTGTGCGATGTCGCTGTGGGATGTTTGCATCACCTCATCTCCTCTTCTTCTTCTTCTTCCTCCTCTTCTTCTGGTTCTTCCGCCTCTTCCTTCTCCCTCTCCCTCCTCCTCTTCATCTTCTCTTCCCTTCCCCCTCTTCTCCACCTCCAACCCCCACCCCCCTTCTCTTCTCCTACCTCATCTCCTCACCTCCTCTCCTCCTCTTTCCATCTCCCTCCTCGCTATCATAAATACATCACGCGGAAATAACGCGGTTCGCTTCGACACTCGTCTCCTCCCCTCAGCGACTTCTCGCGACGACTCGCTATGCGCTTCCCTTTCATCGTCGCCGCGCAGAAAGCTCTTCGTGAGAGATAAGCGCGGTGTGACGGGGAGGAGGAGGGCGGGGAGGAGCGGGAAAAGAGGACCGGAGGTGAGGGAGGGAAGGGGCGAGGAGGGGAGGGAAGGAGGGGCAGGAGAGGGAGGGAGTAGGATGGCGGAAGAGAGGAGAATAAGAGTGGCGGGAGGGAGGGGACGAGTGAAGAGAGGGGAGAGAGGGAAGGGAGGAGAGGAGCGGGCGAGACGAGAGGATAGGATGGCGGGGATGAAGGCGAGTAGGAGGCAAGAGGCGTGGAAAGAGGGTAAGGAGGAGAGGCGGGCGGGAAGAGAGGAAAAGGGAGAAGGAATGTGAGAGGGAGGGGAGGTGAGAAAAGCGGAGGAGTTCGTCCGGACAATATGGAACGACACTGCATGCTACGCGCGCGTTCATGAAGTTCCGCGCGCTTCGGGCGTTGCCCCATTTCTGTTTTCCTTTTTCGATATTTCCGCCGGACTTCCGGAGATTTACGAACGCGACCAGTGCAGGAAAATATCTCCGCGTACAGCCGCTGCCCGCACGTTAATTCCTCGAGCTAGAATGAAGTGACAACAGCCACCCGCGACGGGGGAAGTATGTGGCCAGTGTCGCTTCCTCTTTCTAGGTAATCTTTCGATAATCGTAAACCGCGCTAAGGGAATTACGTGTGTTTTTGCAGAATCTGGCTCGAAACCGCATCGCGTCTCTAAGCTGGTCGTACTAGAAGGACTTCCATTCATCGACTTGTAAGCCATCAAATAAACCATACACTACACTCTCTCGCCAACAGTAGAGTCTCGGCTGATTATTGATTGACGAACGCACTGCGGCGTTTATAGTGATAAAGGCGAATTCGAGAGCGAGAGAGAGAGAGAGAGAGAGAAGAGAGAGAGAGAGAAGAGAGAGAAAAAGACTCGCATTGGGAGAGAGGTTTTCGCAATCGTCGCGCGCAGGGATGTGCTGTAAGGAAGATTATGGCGCATTGAGATTGAAACATTGGGCCAACGAGTTGAAACGGTCTGTCATCTGCCGTAGCGTAGAAGCTAGAGACAGAGGAGAGAGAAAGAGAGGAGGATGAAGAGAAGAAGAGAGAGAGAGAGAGAGAGAGAGAGAGAGAGAGAGAGAGAAAGTCTCGCATTGAGAGAGTTTCGCATTTCCGCGCGCAAGGTATGTGGCTTAGGAAATTAATCGCATTAGATTGAACATTGGGGCACGAGTTTGAACGGTCGTCATCTCCGTCAGCGTACGAAGCTAGAGACAGAGAGAGAGAGAGGGAGCGAGATGAGAGAGAGGAGAGAGAGAGAGAGAGAGAGAGAGAGAGAGAAAGAGCTAAGAGAGAGGAGAGACGCGAAAGAGAGAGAAAGCGAGTACGAGACCGGAGAGAGGAGAGGAGGAGAGAGAGAGAGAGAGAGAGAGAGAGAGAAGGGAGAGGAGAAAAGAGCCCAGCTAAAGTAACAGCAAACTAAATTAATGCGGTTGTTTTGCCGCGCGCTGACCGCGTCACTTGCCACCGATTCGTTCACGCAACATAACAGACACACAGACAGCACAACACTACACACACACACAGCAACAACACACCACACCACCACGCACACACGCACACACAGACACAGACTAGGGACAGACACACCACACACACACTCACGCAGCGCGGCGCACACACTCACACGCACACACACATACACAGCATCACCCACCCACACTACACACAACACACACACACACACACACACACACATCACACACACACACACACACACACACACACAACACACACACGCACGCACCACGCACAACACCACACGCACGCACACTACACACACCCGCGCGCGCACACACACGCACGCACATCCACACACTCACACGCGTATACACACATACACATACATGCACACACCCGCGCGCGCACACACAAACAACACACACACACACACACACACACACACCACACACATACACACACACAGAGCAGCACGCACACAACGATTTAATGCGGGGTGAATCCACCACAAATACTGATGTGATTCGATGTGACGTCCGATCATCAACGTAATAAGTTTTCGCCACAAACGCCGGCTTTCAGGTGCGGCTCAACACTCTCTGCCGGCACTGCAGCACGAAAATGGCTGCAGAATCTCGCGAGAAATCTAACTCGGCAATTCTCGGCCAACATGGAGGGAACTTTCTGACGTGTGTCGAGGCGGACGCCGACAGCGCACCTCGCTAATTCGACTACAACATCCGGGAATGCGGTGGAGTGACGTCAGCTGCGCTTACAAGCGGGAAACATCCCGCTGTAATTAATTTATAGATATTTATTAGATAACTCCTGATAACATCCCGCTTTAATTATGTAGGCTATATATCTTAAGATACAGCTCCTGATGACATCCCGCTGTAATTAGTATAGATCTGTATAGATTACACTCCTGATGACATACGCGTAATTATTATAGATCTCTTATAAGGATATACTCTGATGCACATCCCGCTTTATTATGTATAGATCTTTATAGATAATACTCCTGATAACATCCGCTGTAATTTATGATATAGATCCTTTATAGATCACTCCTGATAACATCAACTGCGCTGTAATTATGTATAGATCTTTTAGATATACTCCTTGTAACATCCCGCTGTAATTATGTATAGATCTTATAGATACACTCCTGATAACATCCGCTGTAAATGATAGATTCTTTATTAGATATACTCCTGATAACATCCAACGCGTAATTATGTATAGATCTTATAGATACACTCCTGATACCATCCCGCTGTAATTAATTATAGATCTATTATAGATATACTCCTGTAAAATCCCGCTGTAATTATGTTAATCTTTATAGATACACCCTGATAACATCCCGCTGGTAATGATGTATATGATCTTATAGAATATACCCCTGATCCATCCCGCTGTAATTATGTAATAGATCTTTATAGATTACTCCTGTATAACATCCCCTGTAGATCATTATAGAGATCTTTATAGATATACTCCTTGTAACATCCCGCTGTAATTAATGTATATGATCATTTATAGATACACTCCTGATGACATTCCGCTCCCTCCGTTCCTTGCTCGCAAATACCGTCGTTGTTATCCCGTTATAATTATCACCGGATGCTTTGAGAGTTATCCTGCTTTTTTTAATGCTTTGGCGTTATTCAATTATCCCAGTGCTTTTATGTTATCCTGTTATCCCGATGGCTTGACGCTATCCCCTTATCCCCGATGTCCGGATGCTACTCCTTTATCCCCCCCATACCTAGACGCTATCCTCTTATCCCCCATACCTAGACGCTATCCCCTCATCCCCGATGCCCGGATGCTACTCTTTATCCCAATGATTTCGTAACATCATTGTGAAGATGAGAGCGGATGTCACACCTCGTCACGATCCGCTAGCCTCTCACGGCCACCGACCCGCTATAGCTGCTGTCCGTCGGTCGTCGATGAATAATTGCGACGTGTTAAGCGTCCGCATTTGCATTGAATTGGCAACACATCTGTCGTCCGTCCGCGCCGTCATCGTCACAGCCAGCTGCTACTTCTGCTCCCCACGTCAACACGCGGCAGAATTGTATATATATAATAATATATATATATATATAATATATATCATAACAGTGGGACATTTATAGCAAGCGAATGACGATGATGACGACGGTGACGATGATGAGTAACAATTGCAAGACGCTCATTTCTAGTCATGTATTTCACGCGCGCAATTCAGACCTACACCGACTCCTCAACTCGCTTGTTAAACCCCCACCGCGCGTGTGTACAGGCGACAGTCTACCCGCGAACAGGCAACAGCGCTCGCCGCCAAATGTGACCAAAGTAACAGCTGTGCCTACCAGCGATAACCGACGCGCGTCTTCTTAACGCCGACAGACGAACCGCTCCTCTCAGTGTCGCCCGCCGACGTCGTGCGCAACGTGTCGTCGCGCGTCACCGTAGAGTGCACGGCGACGGGCAAGCCGGCACCCGACGTGCAGTGGGTCTTCGGAGACGACGACGACGACAACGACGACGTCGACGTCGGCAACCGCAGCGCGACGCAGACGACGCGGCTGGGCGAGCACAAAGTGCGGACGACGCTGACGCTGCGTCGGCTCAGCGTCACCGACAACCGCTGGCTGACGTGCCACGCTAGCAACGTCGTCGGCAAAGTGAAGCAATCCGTCCGCGCATCAAGGTGCTAGGTACGTAATTAGCAGTAAACCCGTCGCTTCGGCTTTAGAGGGATATACTACCACAGTCTCCGCTCACTATACTCTAACATTGTACCCTTCGCTTGCGTTATAAAGGGATATACAACCCACAGTTGACGCTCACCGTAGCTCTACCCGTGTAGCCCTTCACTCTCGTAATAGCATACCACCACAGTTCACGCTCACCGTACTCTACCCGTGTAGCCCTTCACTGCTCGCTACATAGCTATACACACCCCACAGTTCACGCTCACCGTAGCTCTACCCGTGTAGCCCTTCCCTCCCGCTACATAGCTATACACACCCACAGTTCACGCTCACCGTAGCTCTACTCGTGTAGCCCTTCGCTCTCGCTACATAGCTATACCACCACAGTTCACGCTCACGTAGCTCTACCCGTGTAGCCCTTCGCTCCCGCTACAGGGCTATACGACCCGCAGTCTCCGTTCACCATACCTCTACCATTGTAGCCATTCGCTCCCGTTATAGAGAGATATTCGACTCACGGTCCACGCTCACCGTGTCTCTCGCTTATAGGGTCTATGTCCTCCAGGGTACTGCGGAACGTACCGCTGGGTACGCGGCGGTATACTGGAACGTACCTGGTCACTATTGATATGGTTAGGGTTTAGGATTATGGTTAGGGTTAGGTTAGGGTTCGGGTTCGGGTTCGGGTTAGGGTTAGGGTTAGGGAGTAGCGTAGGCGACTCCCTAGACTCATTAGTGGAGTAGGCGAGTACGAGTCGCTCTTCTCTCTCTCGCTATGCCTCGCTCTTTCACATTATCCGTCTCGCTCTCTCTCGTTCTCTCTCTCGCTCTCTCGCTCTCGCTCTCTCGCTCTCTTTCTCTCTCTATCTCTCTCTCTCTCTCTCTCTCTCTCTCTCTCTTATCTTTCTATCGTCTCTTCCTCTCTCTCTTTCTCGTGCTCTCTCTTCCTTCTCTCGCTTGCACTCTCTTTCTCTCATGTTTCTCTCCCCCTCTCTCTATATGTATACTCCCTATTCTGCGCTCTTTCTACTTTATGTTTCGTATATGTTTCCTTTTCCGTGTCTTTCTTCCTACCTTTCCTTCAGTCTCTCCTTTTTTCGTACACACGCACGCACACGCATACAAATCATTCTCCCTCCCATTCCGTTCTCTCTTTTCTCTCTCTCAGCCTGATCTGCTATATATCTCTCGCATCTATTGTACTCTCTTGTCATTTGCTGCTTCTCTCTCCGAGTGGCGCTGGCTTACTGGTTTGTACACTTGCCACGAAAACGATGTGCAGTTCTATATGAATTCTCACGGATCAGAAAAGATTGCGTTTAAACGAAGATCGATCGATAAGCTCTATAAATCGAGGCTTAATTGAAGTGCATTCAAGAATATTTTCGAGAAGAACCATAATGACCTTCAGTAGGTAGTAAATGTCAACTGGCAATTGAAGCGTTTCTCCGTCGCCCGTACTGCCTTCCTCGCCGCACTTCAGCGAGGAAGAAAACGATGCTTCGTCCGCCGCCATGTGTGCATTGACTAACCACGCGTGCCACGCAGTTTATTACGTGCAGCCATTTCGATTTACCCTCCGATACATACAGTGTTTTTTTCTCACGATACTTACAGTTTTTCTAGATACGTATAACGCGAGAGCGACTCTGCGTTCAACTCGGTCAGGTTGTCCTGGTTCTCAATATATCTGCAAAAATAGCGAGAAGCACAGACGATGAGCCAAAACGCAAGTTTAGCCACCTCCTCCTTATTTGGCTACCCTGGTTACCTAGATAACAATGACGGCGACGCGATGCGCAGATGCTATATTATCTACTTCTGCTCTAAAGTTCGCAGACTTGGCGGAAGCCGTGTCCGCTAGTGAAATGCATTACTTTTCGGTTATATATAAATATAGGCACGCAACCCGTTCGCCAGTGGGCACTCTGTCTGAAATCACCCATGCCATGTCACGTGCCACACTCATAACCAATCAACGACTGGCGTGTACGACGCGCTGTGCTACTGGTGACATTTGCATTGGCACTACCGATCGTGTAAGGTTTCTATTATTTAATATGGAAGTCACCCCCGATCGATTAAAGTTTTTCTCGCCTTTGTATTATCGCATTGCAGTGACTTCATGAATATTTTATCAGTATCAGTATCTCTCATCAAACCGCTGTGATGTAAAAAATAACCCTGAGCGGCTGGTGAAACAAGTGACTAT